TCTTGGCTCCTTTTTGGGCGCGATCGAGATCAACGCCTTATCTACTTCTGATCTAGGGGTGATACCGGCTGCCAGTGCTCCCAAGATCTCATCTTCTCCTTTGACACACTTGGTGATCTCAAGTGTTCAAGGTGACAGTAGAGCCACCCATTGTCCTAAACGCCCTTGTAAGGCCGTGGGCCACGCCAATGTTGAATGTCGGGTTAACACACGGATCGGACGCCCGACCAACGTAGTGTAATTGAGATCCAGAATCCTCAGGAGGGCTAGTACCTCCTTCTCTGCGATGCCGTAATTTAGTTCATTCGACTTCAGAGTACGGCTGGCAAATGTCACAGGATAGTAGATCTGGTCGTATTCCTGCATCAACGCTCCCGAGATGGCCCAGTCACTTGTGTACACCACCACTGTGGCCTCCCGCTCTGGGTCAAAGTGTCGTAAGATTGGAGTGGTAGCGGTTCTGGTCTTGAGCACGTTGAAGGACCGGTGAGCATGGATCCAACGTGGATCTACCTCCATAGGATCAGGCGCCTCCGGATCCCAGGTCCTTCGGTGATCGACGTCCCGATCTTCCTGTGATCGTGGATCTGCGCCTTCTGCTTCCAGTACTTGTTGGATCCGCCCTTGGGTAGCCTCTTTTGTCATCGCAGCAAAGTCGATCTCTCGCAATTCGTACAGAACCGACGCGTAAATCGCGTAGTCTTCGATAAATCGGCTATAATAGTTCAGACTCCCCAGAAACGATCGCATGGCTCTGAGTGATCCTGGAAAAAGCTAGATCAGTTAATGCAGACATATCCTTCGGATTCGCCTCCAGTCCATTGTGCGAGATCTTATGTCCAAGATATTCCACCTTGGGCATCCCCCCAGAAACTTTCAACCACGCTGATCGACAGGTTCCATTTGTCGCATGCTTCGAAACCCCTCGACTCGGTCACATAGTTGATCCCAACTATTAGCGGGGATCAGGATGTCATCGATATATGATCTACGACCAAGCACCGAAGGCCTGCCTGGATCCACCGGTTCCCCGTCCTCAAATACATCCGCAGTACTTCCGTGATCTTCAGACTTCGGGATCCGGGTGAACCCATATAGTGCATTATCGATCATACGTTGATAGATCTGGGCCGCATTCTTCTGGCCAAAAGGCATTCGATTCCACTCAAA